TTACTTTCTCCCTGCCAGTCCCACAGCTTCACAGTTACAGCTATATGAAATTTCTCTAGCCAAGGACAATAATGATGAATGTAAAGATATGGGTCCCTTGAAAGATGCATGCAAACAAATGATTGGCAGATAACTCAAGATCTATCTGTTTTGTTTTGTTTTTTTACACTGCAGTGTTTTCAAAGAAGCTTCTCTTTAGTCGTACTCTCAATAAGATCTGTTCAGTTGGTACCTGGAAATACAATGTGAGCTCAGCACTTTTTATCTGACTCACAGGCTCCAGCCACCCTAGCCTTGCAGGAAGTCCCTAAGACACTGTAGGCTACATGCATTGATGATATTGGCCTCATCAAAGCCTGTGCATTGGTTGTAATTACTCCTAAATCTGATTATAGGCCATGTAAACAACTATACTTTCTCAAAAATGAAAAGTAGCTATTGATGACATCATTCCAATGTTTGAATCTCTTAAAGAGGCAGGAATAATTGTACCCTGTGAGAACTCCCCTGTGTGCACTCCCTTGCTCCCTGTAAATAAAAAAAGTAAGAGATGAAGGTTAACCTATAGAATGAAGATTTGTGCAGGACTTGCAAGCAGTAAATGCTGCAGTCAAGCCTTGAGCCACTTGTTTTGCTAAAAGGCACAGCTTTATTGCAATGTTATATTCTTGAAGAACCTGGCTGAACATAAAGTTTGTCTCTTTAAACTGCAGTTTGTACAAATTAAAGTTACATTTCTGGGTCATGTGATCACAGTTGAGGGCAATCCCTCTCACCTAAAGTAGTTGAAGCTATCCAGCAGCTTCCAAAACCACTCAGAAAAGCTAATGATGTCCTTTCTGGGCATGTGCTCCTACTGTAGGAATTTCCTCCAGCATTATGTTGTATTGGAGTCCCCAGTCAGTGCACTGATTCATGGAAAAGGCCTTCAATCTTATGATCAAGTGACATGGACTCTAGATGCTGAAAAAGCTTTCACTGACTTGAAGTTAGCTTTGCAGACCACACTGACACTGGGACTACCTGACTTGACCAGACCTTTCACACAGACTGTGGATGAGAAAAATGCACATATGACATCTGCTCTCTTGCAGGAACAGGGTGGACAACAACGCCCTGTTGCCTATTTCTTTGCTAAACTGGCTGAAGGAAAATCTGTTACCATTTACAATAGTGTAAAACCCTGTCCAGCGTTCTTCCTCAGATTTTCAACAGGTGAAAGCAGCTCTCCCGGCTCCAGCCTCTGAACCTCTACATGATCTGCAGCCAACAACTGGGTCGTGATAAAGGAGCTTCAGCGGACACACTGGAAGTCCAAGCACTGGCAGAAACCATTTCAAGTCCTGATGACAATGCACACAGCAGTTAAGGTAGCAGAAAGAGCAACCTGGATTCACGTCAGCCACTGTAGTAAGGTGCCAGAGCCACCAGAGATGACAGCTGAGTACCCCAACCCAGCACAGTCACTCACTCACACACACACCTTGATTAAGTGAGGCTGGAGTTTATTTATAGTAAATGTGTGGTCAAACATCTCCAGCATGATTGGTTAACACATAATGATCCTCCTCACATAAATGCTACTAATATGTGGTGGAGATTTGCTAACCACATCGTTGCAGCTATGGTTATAGCTATGAAACTGAGTAATTGTTGTGTGCACGCACATGCCTGTGTCTGGCCATTCACCTCTGCTCTCACCAGTTCCATTTGATTACAGATTCCCTATGTTTGTGAATGCCACAACAGATGGTTTTATAGCTGTAAGGAAGGAACTAACAAGCCTCAGGCTCACAGCCATACAGGACCAAATGGTCTTAGACCAGTTAACTGCTTCACATAGAGATGTCTGTGTAATCATAGGCACATCCTGCTGTGCTTACATCTACAGATTTGTTTCTCAAACTGTTGAAATTATGTTGGTGATCTACCACTCTACACACCCCCTCTCTCATCAACTGCTTATAGCTCAGACAACTCTGAATCTGGGGATTAAATGCTAGTATAGGCCTATTATTGCCATCCTCCTCTTTGTGCTTCATGATTGTATCACAAAAACAGTAAATTTGTTTTTCTTCTAGGATATAATAATTTATCTTAAACCTTTTTGGTATGATAAGTTTAATATGTTCCTAAGAAGACTTTTGTATGGACTGTTGTGATTAATGTTTAATCAAGAGGAGGGAGTATCGTGGCAATTTTTATAATTGCACCCTTTAAATTCTTTAGCTGTGGCTTTCATGTCATTGTATGCAGTCATTTGTCTGGTTGTGACCCCAGACCATTTATTGCATGGTCGTAAACCTTTGTATGTCCTTGTGGTTGCCAAACTAGATGTGACCTAGGACCAAAGGGCTGGTATCCTGTTGTGAATTGTATCCCGTTTCCTTTATCTTTTTAAGCATCTGTCTTCTTTGTTGTATGCTGAGTATAAGAACGGCAGTTCATTGACCTTGTAACAGACTGTATTAGACTCTGTTCAGACAAACCTCCTTCCTGCAGGAATAAATATGTAATAACTTTCAGAACTGATGTTAAGTATTTATTTTACACTCACTAAGCCTTAAAAGATATTTTTTCCACACCAGCATCCTGAAGAACCATGTAGTATTTCTTTTCAACACCAGTATAGCATTTGTAGTTATGCAAGTATTTTCACTTATTTTTGACATAAGTAAAATAAAGAAAAAGGAAAAACAGAACAGAGGGGTCATTCGCCACCATCTCAAAAAAAAAGTAAACAAAACCTCATTTTCCTGCAGGCGTTGTCTCCTTCCTCCTGAAGGCTCTCAATTTTTCTTTGCAGCTGGGGTCTGATCCTGGGTTCTGCTGCCTCCTGGCCCCTTTGGCCGCTCTATTCCAGGTCAGCCGCTTCAGCTGTTCAAGGATTTTGTCGGGCGGTTTGATGATCTTCACCATGTAGACTCTCCTAGTCATATCTTTGGTCGCTTCCTCCACCATG